AAGCAAGTCAATTTTACAAGTTTTACTCTGATGCTTATATGTGACTCAAATTAGCATCGGTTAATGCAAGAAAAAGATTGTGCCAATGAAGTACACAGTTAGCGAAGTTCAATCGGTCGTAGGTCACGGATCAGACGGACGGAGCGAATGTTTTCCGTATGACGCAATATCATTGATTATTCTCCCCGGGATTGGTATTGATTAGAGATACCCCTAATTGAAAATACTCGAAAATAGTCAGTTTTAGGTAGAAATAGCCTTTTTACCTAACAAACTCTGATGAACACCACTATCCCGGGAAATCTTCATTTCAGATGGAGGACTGGCATCGACTGGCAGAATTTGCGCAGTCGCGGTGGAGGGTGATAGTTCAGATGTTGATGGGGGCCAATTGAACTGAGCCTCGAAATTTTCAGCGTTGCTGATCGTGACTCAGTGTGTCATCGGATTCCTTAATTACCTCACTTACGCCTATTTTCCTGGGGCCCGTATTCCTAATTAGATGGAAAAGATTGCGACTATTACCAGTAGCCGCAGCTTTCTCCATCTCTCTACACTTTCCTATCCACCACTTCTCACGGTCATTCCTTAGGCTCTTGATGAGCTGACATTTGAGGGATTTGCGCGCTGTGTCAGGAAGGATTCTGCGGGCGTCCAGCAGAGCAGCCGAGGTCGACGAGATCCATCATTTACTTTTTGAGCCTATGTGAGGATTTGACATTGTTTTTTTTATATTCGCACAGCTTCCTTGGTTTTCTTTCAATATCCTTTGGCTGGCAGTTGAACTGACAGGCGATCGGAGAGTTACGCTTCGAAGGCTGATTTGCAATAATCGCTGATGTTGTATCGTGGGTATCCTTTGTCGGCGGTTTTTCATGGTTGTTTGTCAATCGTAAGGAGAATTTGGCTCGCAGCAAAGCGTAGTCCGTATCCACAGGTGTTGACCAGTAAGAGCGACAGTCTTGAATCGATCCCCTTCAGCGGTAACTGATGGCGATGTGGTCGATTTGGGTCCAGCGCAGTGAAGAGATTGGCGGTTTCCATGTAAGGCGGTGTCGTTTCTTGTGTGATAAGTTGGTGCTTGACAAGAACAATCCATGGTCCGTACAGAGTTGAAGTAGGCGATCGCCGTTGTCCGTCCGGTTGGCTGAGATTGCACGTGGTCCACCAAGAAGCCTCTCTGATTCTTCCAGGGATCCTACTTGGTCATTGAAATCCCCGGAGATCACTACGATGTCCGTTGATCGAATGCTTTGGAGTAATCGAGAAAGGTCCTTGTAGGATTCATCTTTGATTTCAGGTGAACTGCAATCGGTCGGTGAAAACACCGACATGACGAATAGGCATCGACGATTCGCTCTGTAGCTGTTGATCCGCACTGAACCATTGAGACGTACGGCGCACAATCAGCTACTGACTGGAATCCAGTCAAGAAGCGAGCGCTCAACCTTGGCACTCAGCACAATCCCGACACCAGCAACACCGCGAGCTTCGGATGCCGAATCGCCTGACACACGAAGGGTGAGTGTGAGGTTGAATCAAGAAAACGCAGGGAGATAATAGAAGTGCAATCTTGTATGCGTGTTCCGGAGACACAACATACATCTACATTGAAAGTTTCGAGGGTTCTAACCAGGGCAGCTTGTTGGCCAATCTGATAGAGCGTGCGGATATTGAACGGGGCTAAGTGAAATGGGGATTTGGGCTCTAAAAATCCCGTAGCTTCTGAATCTCTGGCCTTGATGGTAAAACGCTGAGTGATATTCGATGGGTGGCTTAAACGCGGGGCATCTGGGATTATTCGGGGTTGAGAAGAAGAACTAGACGGATGAGCAGGAGGGTTTTCCATGAAGGTGCCTAAGACTTCAGGTTGCGACATACTTCGCGGTAGCGCACACCGATGAAGGGGATTTTCCTTGGGAACCCTAACAGGAGCCTTTGACTTAAGAGTCTG